CCGTATATCTCCTGAGCTCGACGAATCATCCTCATCCGTAAGGAACAGCGTTTAGGGTTAAGGTAGCGGTTGCCAATAGCAGAGCAATTAATGGAAGAAATCACGGAAGGAGTTAACAACATCAATTTGGGCGGTGACCCACACAAGAGGAACCGGATTCAAGTCTCCAACACCAAAAAACCCTTGTTCTTCTATGTCAATCTCGCTAAGGTATCTCATTTCTCTCTGATTTTTTTTTTTTTTATTCAGTGCACGAAATTTAACGTTTTAGGTTTTTGATTTTCGCATTATTTTTTTATAATTGCCTTCTGTCTGAAAATCAGGTTCTGGGTAATTTTTTCTGCTTCGATCTAGGGTTTCAGCTGTTTTGCACGGCTATGGGGAACGATTTTTTAGGGTTTCTTTTATATTATTATTACCCTGTTTTCTCGTTGGGGTGGATTATGGTTCTAAGAATGGAACTATTTAGCTGTTTTGTTTGTTGTTTGATGTTTGATTTTGGTTGCAGAGGTTTATGCAACAACACAATGAGGTGGAGCTTTCTGCTCTTGGCATGGGTACTGTCTATCGTTTCACTTCTCTATGTTCTCATAGTTGTTGTTCTGCCTTTTCTAGATCTGTAGTCGAAAATTTTGTTCTTTTCATATCCCCCATGCTAAATTTGGACTTACTGTCTGGCTGACATAATGAAATATGCATTCTTTTCCAATCGTTATAGAAGAAGATGGGTTTTCAGGTCTTAACAAATTAGATTCCTATGTAGACCTTGTTGGATGTTATTATTTTGTTGTTATAGATGGTTTAGTTAGTGTCATACAATTAGAGGTGAAGCGCACTTGTGTTTGCCACTTGGTCATTACTGTAATTAATAATTATGTTGTTTCTTTACGCAGATAGTGTTGTTTTATTGCTGCACAAAACCTTTTAGAGTTATTCTTTTTGGTGAATTTGAATTTATACTTTTCCTTTTTTAACTTGAGTCAGTATGCTCAACACCGATGGCTTATTGTCTTTGCATTATCCTCACATAATATCTATATATTAATAGATGGTTTGCTTTTAAATTGTATTATGAGGAGAAACTGCTAAGATGCCTTGGGGTTCAAAGTATTTTCAACTTCAAGCAGATGGTGTAATTTATTCTTGGGGAAGAAAGTTTTCATAAGCAGAACAACTAAAAAATTTCATGGTAAATTTATATGGAGCTGTTTTCTTATTCTATGTGCAGCTATTGCAACAGTTGTTACAATTGCAGAGATTCTGAAAAACAATGGTTTTGCTGTTGAGAAGAGTAAGTTCTCCAACATTCCTTTATTTTTGTAGTTATTTTTGTTGTAAGCAAGTTATCAAGTCCTGAATTTTGTTCCTGTATTCTTGGCAGAGATTATGACCTCGACTGTGGATATGAAGGAGGATTCAAGAGGCCGACCAGTCCAGAAAGCTAAGGTACATTAATATAGTATCTCCTGATGCTAGTGGGTGTCATCTTCTAGAACTTATTCTACACAATTCTGATTTTTATTTGCTTCTTGTCAAATCATCATGGTCATCCTAGTAATTAAGATGCTATCAGCTTGAAAGACTGATGATAGGGTTTTTATGTTCTTTCTCAGATAGAGATCCTGCTGGGGAAGACTGAAAAATTTGATGAATTAATGGCAGCGGCTGCAGAAGAAAGAGATGTTGCAGATGGAGAGGAGCAGAATTGAAAACAGATTCCATTTCTTAAGTTAGTATTTAGCAGTCTGTTTTTTGTGTTCGCACTGGTTGAGAGCCCAGAAACTTAATTTAGGTTTTTTTAATTTAATTTAATTTTTTTTTTATTGTAGGTAGCTGACATATTATGGTTCACCTCTAAAGCACACTAGGAGAAATACTTGCTTGTTATTCAATTCAATTTTGTTAACTTAATTATTTTGTGTTCAAACATCGACATCTTGCTATTATTTTGGAATTTGCTTTATAGTTCATTAACTTTACAATTCTGCCTGTCTTCGGGTTTATGTACTACTCTTTCTTCTTGCTGATAGACGAGCTTTAATACCACCTCGAAAGGCTATATGATTGTTCTAAGTTTCTGCCAATTTGGCTAGGTATCACAGGACACCTGTTGTTTTAGTTTTTACATCAACTTCCTACCTCAACAATAGATTTCCATTTTATACT